CAGACACAAAGAAAGAACGACAGAAGTTACGACAGAAAGAGACAGCGAATAGCGAACGACCGGCAACACGAAATAAAGAACTATATAAATAAAGAACTAGATAAAGAACGAAAGAAAGACATAAGGCAAAACCTAGACAACGAACGAGCTAAGCTAAACCCAATAAATGCGCAACGAAAGAAAGATACACGAAGCAACTGGAGGTCAAACGACAGAAAGAACGACATAAATAGATAAGCGCGATGAATAACCATAGACATAACAAGCGACATAAATATAGAAATAGAGAACGACCGAACGAACGAACGAACGAACGAACGAACTACATAACAACATAAATGAGTTAAAGAAAACTAATGGGCGACAGACGCAAAGAAAGACACAACCAAAGAAATAACGACATAAATAAGTACACAAGGACAGAACCAAATATTTAAAGCAATGAAAACGGGCAATGATGAAGAGAGAGGGATAGAACAAAAGAGCAAGCTGGATACAGAGAGAACGAACGAAAGACAGCACTAACTTGATATTAGCAAAAGAAGACACCGGAGGGTAAGCACACGATTCAATTTTGATATTGTTTTTTGCATTGAGGAGTGAGCTTTGCCATGCGTCGTTCAGCGGAAGTTCAGCCCAGGCTTAGGTTCAAGTTTTATGAGCCAGTTCACAGCCCGGCATAAAAGGAGCACTGCATCAATCACATTTGCTTACCAGCAATTGCTCGCATTTGCAATGTGCCACTTCGCTCCCCCTAACTTGCAGAGTCGTCGTCCCAGGAAGGGCGACCGCGAAGTGCGGCGAACCTTACGTCATGCCCTGCGAGATGCGTGGCCAGCCATGCGCGAGTTTGGTTGGCGCCTTAGGCAGCTTTGTGAATTGGACCCTGCCGACGAGCACGTGGGCCGCTTGCATGTGATTTGGAGCGACATTTCGGACTCGCAAGAGGTTGAGGGTTTACAATGTAGGGTGTCGAAGAAGGTTCCTGCGGCCTTGGCTGCCGAGGTTACAACCACGAGGGGACGATCTTCCTGAAAGTGCGGGATCCCCATAGCAGGCCCGAGCTTTACCCGTACAGCTTCGTGCTGGCGACACTGCTGCACGAGCTGACCCACCTCTCCTATGAAGGCCACGGCAAGGCACTGGAAAGCCAACAACCAGATTTTGTCATATAAATAAATAAATAAATATAAATATATATATATAGATAGATAGATAGATAGATAGATATTACAATTGTCCAACTCATCACGGTCTTTCATCTCTTTCCAGCTGGAAGCCTGCAGGCCTTTTACAGACGTTTGGTGCTGGCCTCCGTCGCATGTGGGGCCGATGCCAGCATCCGACGAGAGGCAGGGCCAGGGCAGTAGTCGGCCGTAGATCTCAGAAATGTAGAAAGTATATGAGAGTTGTTCTAAACCCCCGGCCCTTGACCGTAGATAAACAGTGCACTTTAATATTTTGATTCAGGTTTGGGACCTGCTCCAAACACGGCACGGCGCAAGCGCGCGCAAGGCGAGCGCACAGGAATAAGCAGTGTATAAGCCACCTAGGTTAAGATGGTCTACTTGGTGTAGAGTCCGTCGCCGTACAAGCTTGCGGTTATGAGTTCACCGACACTCGCACAGCTGCTGCAATCAAGTACGGGGAATTGACGAGTAGCATAGTCATGGCCGGGGTCGAGCCGTCAACGCCGATTTGCCAAGTGGGCACGTGTCGTTCTGATTAGGCATGGAGCATTGCAGAAGAGCACATCCCAAGCCTGCACGGGAATCTCCGAAAAGTACTTAGACATACCCGACATCGCGCGCAAGCAAAACCCGAGCTCCGCGCAAGGTGGGCCCCCCACTTGTGAGCCATGGCCCAAACCGACCTCCAAACTGCTTTTGTTCTTGTCTCTGTACACTTCCACGACATCCCACCCCCAACCCTTGAAAGCGTTTCTCAGCGATTATGGGCCTCTTATTGGAAAGCCTTTGGAAAGCCTCTGGGTTGCGACTTGGTTTGTGGGACCAGGTTCTGCTACAAGCAATGTTCCGTAGTAAGTCAGACATTATGATTGATTGTTGCGCATGTTGGGTCAAGGCCTGTAAAGGCTTCAAGCTAGGAATGTGTTTAAAGCTGTGTCGCGCAGGAGCGCGCAAGGGCGAAGCGCAAGGGGATTTTCGAGTTACAAGCTGCAAACCATAATAAAGAACGACCCCCATATGGCGCATACAAGGTGCGGAGAAATCTTTACTCTACTTGTCCTCAAAACCAAATAAAGGCAGTGCATTTTGCAGCTCCGAACAGCACCGAACAGCACAAACGGGTTTGCGTCTGTTGCAGGATGTGTGTTGTTGCTCCGGAGCATTCAAATTATTTGTGTTTTCCATCGAGTTCCCTTGTGCTTTCTCACTTTCCTAGCGGAAGTGTGTGTGTGTGTGTCATCCCGGGGCCTGAAACTCATCTTCAAAGAAGGCGTCGTTCGCAGACACGTCCCATACACGTACCGAACACATTTCTGAAGGCAAGTCAAGGCCTAGGAGCCGTAGCCAATGCTTCCAGACCGCCAACAGCTTGCATCAATCTTGATCCCTTGCCAGGTCCACATTCATGTCTGCTCTGAGCTGCTGAATGCCGTCTGTGAAAACGATGCCCGCCGTGCACGAGCTTTGCTGGCAGTCTTGCCCGAGGCGGCGCATGCCAGGGCTTTTGGCAGGCACTTCACACATAGTTTTGCACGGTGGGATTTCTCCATTGCTTGTCGAGGAAGCTCCTACGACGACTTGCATGCATGCTTCTTCTGTAGTAAACATTGCGATTGGGAGTACAGATAGGACGGGTCGTACACCTCTTGCGGTGGAACTACTGGTGGGATGAGTCAGCCGTATCAGCCGTGCTTGTGGTACCGGCTGCGCGACTGGAGAGAGTCGTACCAGGAACGTACTCGTTGCAGCGCGTGGCCCTACCAGTAGCTCCAGTACATGTTGAGTCCTAACCTGGCTGCATGCATTTACAGGATCAGTTTCGATAGACTAAAGTTGCGGTTTGCCTGCTGAAAGTATCTATGAGAGCATCTACAGTGCCTGCAGACTCGATGCAGGCAGCCAGTTGCCGGCCATTGAACGGAGGGCAGTTCCCACTCGAGTACGCGGCACATCATGGTCGAGTGTCGTTGACAAAGCTGCTCTTGCAGGTTCCGAAATGTGCCGTCGCTTCTGGCAGCTTTAAGTGCACATCGACAGGCACGGGCGGATCCCAACGTTTATGGGCAGAAGGCCGTGCTTTCGTTGTTGAAGAGGTCGCCTCCGGGATTTGGAGTTTCTGTTGCTGGGATGGCAATGCCGATGGGCTGACAGTCCGTTAGATTGGGGCACCCAAAGCATCATGGAAGATTTAGAAACAACGAACTGCAAATCCGGAGCACTGACCCGAAACCCTGTACAGCATGAGTCGAACCGAGAAAATGCAAACGCACGGTGAATAAAGGGATTAACATGTGGTCTTCGAGTCTCGTGAAGCTTGCTGTCAGGTTGGGATGCCCCCACTGGCACGTGCCGCTGCACAGGGCAACGTGAAGGTGCGGTAGAAGTTCCTAAACAGTGTGAAAAACGTGGATAATAGCATCCTCGCAATCGTCGCCTCTGTCACTCGTGCAGACTGTCCGTCTGCTGCTACAAGCCGGCGCTCGTGGGGCTGCGTGGCTCCCACCGGAATTGCAGCGAGTGCAACGCAGCAAATCCAGCGACTACTTAGAAAAGGAGGCCTGTGATCTGACGGTCATGCAGCCGCGCAGCTTCCACTCCCGAACAGAATCATGAATGAAGAGATGATTGCTTCAAAGCGTGTCTGACTTGTTTCATGCAGGGGGAGCCGCAAGGCTCTGAAATCAATCACATCATATACTGGAGGCCTCAAGGTCCCGATTCACGTGCTCCATGCGTAGCCTCCTCAATCCGTACTACGCATGTGGGCCCGGACCCGGATATCATTTGAGGGCTAAAGCACAAGTTCAGCTGTCCACCCCGGAACAGGCCGAATGGTTGTTAGCAAGTGTTGGCCATGGTATGGTAGGGATTACAAACTCCTCTGCAGTCCACACCAGATGGAAATGTGATGAAACTGTGATACATGATGATACTATACGTTTTGCAGCTTATAACCCAAGCCTGGCTCCAAGTCATGGAGAGGTATGCAGAACATTCTCGCTCCCCGACTTGGCCAAGGGAGGTCACACAAGGAGACTGGCTCTTGGCGGGGCTGGATCCCTCGCCTTGTGAGTCACACCCTAAAATGGGAGCGCATATCAATTCAGAGGCCCAGCAAAGCTGTGCAGCCTGCACTGCGTCATGCATGTGAAGCTATCATGCTGCGCGCTCTCGGTCTCACTCAGTTTTTTCAGGATGCATGCATCGGCCACCATTCTAAAACGACTGGCGCATGCAAATCTTGGACCGCCTGATCGTCTGAGGCAAGTTTTGTTGCGAGTGCAGGTTTCTGCAGCCAGCATTGACGAGGGCAAGACAGCCCCTGAGCCCGCTGCCTCAATGAACATTTTGCCAGCACTTAGCGACTTAAGGCGGCTGGATCTGTGTGAAAACTCAAGTTCGATGTGTAAGTGACGCACAGTCTGCCATTCACGGTCATGCATCGTTGCATCAGTGGCTTTCTCAGTTTCTGAAGCTATATCTGCATGGAATTCAGCTAACTGCAGAAGAGCTTAGTGTTCATGTCCAACATGTATGTGCAAAGCACAGTGGGGCCACCACACAGCCGCTGTCGCTACAGCTGGTCAAGGCTGACAGACATAGCTCGTTTCGCTGAAAACCGCGCAGGGTCATCTACGATGGCAACACGGTGTCCCATTTGAAGGCCCCGGGAGGCCGACGAGTAGTTCGGCATTGTGAATTCTACGGAACCTGGTGCTGTGCCGCAGGAGTTGCCATGGACAACTATTTCGTCTATTGGCTGAACAAAGCAGGTGCTCCGAAGGTGCCAGCTCCTCACTGCACACCGGTTGCTTTGAAGTACGGGCTCGCATGCAGAGCACACTTTGTACGGCGTTGCACATCCTTCGATTCAAATCCGCACAGAAATCAGCATGATGATGGGCGACTGGCATTGCCACGCCTCGCCTTTCAGATGGAAATGTGTGTGTGTGTGCTGCGCATAACTTTGGATGCAGTGGTAAACGTTTATCGTAGGTCCGCTCCAAGCGCAACCCAAAGGCTCAGGCATCTGGCCAGGTAGACTGGCTTGATGGCTTATGTGTCTGCCTGCAAGCTCAGAACGATGCGACAGAGAAAGACCGGAGACCAGGGAGCGAGTGCCAGATACAGCTACCAGCTCCAAGCGAAATTGATGACAGCACTTGAAGTGGGAACGTACGTCGCAAGAAGCTGTGACGACGAATATCTACTGCAATCGTAGAGCCGTGGCCCGTCCGTGTCTCGAAGCGAGATGAACTGCAGCTTTTTCCTTAGATATTCTTTGTCAGCGCCAGGCGGGTACACTGATACGAGGTTTGCAATATGCCACGGTCCACAGCTCGGCTGCCTTCAGCGTTCACAGTCATGGCCCATAGCCATAGTGTATCTGAGTCAGAAATACACGAGGCCGAGACTATCCAGAATGCTTCAGCCGGAGTCAAGGACCGCTACTAAAACTCACAGAGCCTGTCTTTCCGATGAATGCTGTGCTCCATACTTGCGCTTCTGCAGCTCGAAACACATGTTCGTGTTCCTGGCAGCTGCTGGCCGGCAACGCTCCCAAGTGCTATGGCGTCTGTCTCGCCGGAGGCATCGTATGAGAGTATGACTAAGGCCCTGAACTTGAGAATCCAAAAAAGTGTCCAGGAGAGGCAAGGAGAGAGGAAAAACATTTTGGCAGGACTTACCTGTGGTGGCGTTGCAATCGATGAAACAACTGTGAGATTCAGAGCTGAGGTTGTATATGCTGACATTTTTACTCATTGAGAGCACCTCTTGCGATGGGAGGTGCTGGCACGGCCGTTTCGTCGTACTCGAATGCTATTGGCCCAGCAGTTACCAGCTCCGTTTTCTCAGTAAAAGTGATCATGATGTTGGGCGATGGCCCCAGCAGACAAGAGATTGGGTACACGGATGGACAAAGCGATGTTGTGATTTTGAGCTCGAACTCCAGGTGTGTTTATCTAGTTGTCCAGATGTTGAAGTCGCGGCTGTAGACTTTTTGTCTCATGTTCTCAGCTTTTATTGACGAGTGTGTTCGGGATATCTTGGCAACTTTCATGTAGTAAGGGAGGTCTGAAAACAACAGGGTGTATTCAGGCTGCCCTCAATGGGAGTCCGACAGCGCTGTGGCAAAATTCTTGTCGGGAGCACGGATGCTGCTCGTACTAATTGCTGCAGCCTACAGACATGAAAAATGCATGTGGACACCAGCTGATGTATCTCTCTCCAGGTGCACCACGCACGTACGTTTACCTGTCCAGTGACATAGAATTTCTGCGCACGCACACCAAAGATCAAAGATCGTTGTGCCAGCAAATGTTGTTTCCGAACGCAACGCCCAGCGGAAAGGAAGTCAAGACAATAAGCACAGGTTGGCACATATCTACAGCAGGGAAAGAGGTCGAGAGAGAAAATGCAGGATCTGTACACACAGACGATTATAACATCAATGCATGTACGGAGGGTGCATGGTTTGGACAGGGAATATCTTCTACACGGACGAAGCGTCGCGCTTGAGCGGTTCTTAGCAAAGGAAGCCCGGCTGATTTATGTTTAAGTTTCCGTTGCTTCCGCTGACCGCTGAGGTATGGCATCAACCGCGCTTCAACGTCCCGGCATGTCGTGCGCACTATTTCTTCCAGCCTGCAGGACGAGACGTTGCAAGCGACGCGAACAATTTCTTCAAGTAGATGCATGTGGCTCCAACGACAGGCGCCTCGCGGGTGTGTGTCTGATGGTGCCGGCACAGTCTATGCCTGATGCCTAGACGCCGGAAGCATCCGTAGACTATGCAGACATGGCAAAATTCATGGCGCTGAGGTCGCGGACAAGTCGCAAAACGCAGTCTTCCGTTTCCCTTCGAACATGGATGACCTCATGCCTAGAGCCATGGTGAAGGCAGGAATTCATGAATGAAGAAGAGGCTCTCAGATCTGTCTGAAGCCGGTGAATTTTGTCCTGGTTCACGGCTCCAGCCACTTCTTGGCCCCGCAGAGACCCCAGCCCGTAATGGGTAATTAATGGGATGCTCACCGTCGTGGCCTGGATTCTGCAGTCGCAACAACTTAAGACTTGAAGTGGCGATGCTTGGCAAATCTCAGCTCTTGGGGTTTGGCTGTCGATGTTTCGGAGGCTGCAGACCTGCAGGGAGCCTTCGGGCTGGCCATTCACGATGTGGTCGGCGCACTGAGAAGCCAGTGATTTGCCCTTTTTCCCTTTTTCATCGCACCTGTGCAGGGCTACCAGGCTCCTGGAATTCTGCGATGAGCCTGTAATGGGCGCCTGAGTGCTACACCTTGATGGCGTTCGGAAAAACTTTTCACCTTCAGAGCGGTTTCGGTCCATGGTCCACCCGATGCTTGCATGCGGCATTTCGTTCCGAAGCAGACATGTGGCGTTGCAGCATGAGCCGTCGCAGACAGAGTCAAGATAGCCCTCCGCTGCTGTAACTTACACTCAGTTGAGCAAACTGGCAAGCAGGGACCGGACAGAGTCAGGATTCGGTGGCCCGCGCCATGCTGATCTAGCGCCCTCACATCCACCTTCCAAGAGCGCAGAAGAAGTGACGCCAAATGGCAGAGCGCTCAGGAATTTGCGGCCAGTAGGGGTTCCAGTAAGGGTGGGGTGGGGCCGAGCAGTGGAAATTATCTGCAGGCTTTCAATTGTTCCGTTCGTCTTGGGTCAGTAGGGCATCCCTGCCATTCTGACTTGTTTTGCTCCCTCTTCAGTCTTCCCCTTGTTCTCTCTCTAACTCCCTCCCCCCCTTCCACCCTCTCGCTCTCTTGCTTCGTCAAGCTCTATTTCCCTCTGGTTGTCTCTGTTTCTTTGATCCTCTCTCTCTCTCTCTGAGCCTGTCCACGGACTGTTACCCTGTTCCGACACAGCATTCCTGGACAGCACTGCGGGTCACATGATGACTCCGTTGCTCACGTTGCCGTGTTGACAGGTGCATCTTCAGCGCAGGCAGGATAAGCAAACTTGACGACGCAACATGAGTGATCTCCGGAAGAGTTGCATGCCGAACACTGGCTCGCGGAGCTGTGCCAAGGAACCTGAAAATAGGCGGTGCAGCGGTGCATCTCCGCAAAAAGCATTCCCTGGCGGGCATATTGCCGTTACACACACAGATTTATATATATATATATATAGCTATCTATCTATATGATGTAGCCTCT